AAGTTTGACTGAAAAAATTAGTATACATTTCGCCAGTAATTACAACTAGCTTCATCAGGCGACAGCCAGATTTGCGGAGAAGTCCACCTATTTCGTTCCTTATATAGAGGCGTAGATGTGGTGACCACACTTCTGCACTCTGGCGCAAAGTGGGGGGGGGGGGGGATTAATGAGTCAATGTACATTATGCATGCGCATTATGCGTTCACTCATGCATATTGTACGTTGACTCATTAATCAGATTGTAAATGTTGTGAACTTCCCAGAGACAACTTTGATAGAATAGCAAAACACCCCTGTAAAGAGACGGAATTAAAGTTAAACTTGAGGTTTATTAGTTTACCCTGGAGTGATTCAATGAACTGTTGTCATTTGGGGCATTGCTTAGATGACTTTTTGTTTGTAACTGGTGGTGAATGTATTGGCCACAAGTGGGTGGAGTGCCCATGTGAACAAGTTACAGTGCAACATTTAGGAATCAAAAATATTATATTCGTACACGTATCGTTCAATTAAGAGTACATTTAATTAACTTGTGCATTGTTACACCCTTATGTATAATACATACAACTATTGTGGGTATGTGGGAATGTGAATTTAGATGTATTCATTCGTAAATAACAGCTTTTAAGTGGATTTATTTTCTTATGTTTAATTCACATACACGCGTAAGCCGATTTGTGCTGCAGGGAATTTAATATTTAGCTTTTATTCAAAGTTGATTCATGTTTGCAACATTTTCAATTCCCCTCCTGCAATGCAGCGTGTTTGTACTGATTGCCTTATTTAATTGTCTGTACTCTGTTTTGTTTGTTTTTGCTTTTAGAATTGTTTTCAAATGACATTGCCCCAGTCTCTTGAGTTCTCACCTATTTAAACAAAATAAACTTGCAATGCATTTATTTATGAATCACACAGGCTACATCATTCCCTCGTTATACACGAACTTGCTCTCCACGATTTTGGCTATCCACGAATCGCATCTGAAACTACACGACTGCATCACCAGAAAGAGAAAGAAAGCGATGAGATAAAGTGATGAGGGAGAATGTAATGCGAGAATGTGATGACATAATGTGATGAGAGAAAAAGTGCTGAGATACAGTGATGAGAGATGAAGTGGTGAGAGATAAAGTAATGAGAGAGAATGTGAGCCGAGAAAGTGATGAGATCAAGCAATGAGAGAGAAAGTGATGCGATGAAGAGAGGAGAGAGATCGAGAGAAATAACTTTTCGAAGATTTAGAAGCATGCGCAGACGTTGCGTGTACAACATTCGTGGGCGAATAGCATTATTCGAGAAATTTGCTGGAAAATATCCCTCGCAAATAACGGGGGGGGGGGGGGGGGGGGGGAGAATACTGTAATGCCTTAGAGAGCCTTAGCTCTGCACACTTGCGTGCGTGCACTCCGTCACGATCGCCAACTTTTACAAGCAGCAGCCGCCACCACAGAGACCTGACGCTGGTGCAGAAAACAGAAGCAGGAAGTGGAACATAACGGGACACTTTGAATGGGGCCCTTGGAAATAATAATAATATCAAGTCACCTCCTCCAGGCACCCACACACCTCACTGTTGTCGCAACAAATGGAATCACAACAAATCTCATGGCGCAGCGACGGATCTGGCACCGGGAAGAGAATGGAACACATGTGGAGCCATGGGGAATATGAAGACGTAGCGGGCGCACAAAAACAAAGTGTGAGAATCTGAATGGAAAAATATCTCGGCTGCTTTATCGCCCGGATTTAGCTTCCACCAGAAGGCACTGATGTACGGTGTTTTTTCTGCAATATTTTGCCGTCTTTTCTTGGATTTTCTGTTTGCACTTAGTCACATATTCACTTTAAGATGTTTTTTGTTCATGTTTTTTTGTTTGTTGCGGTTGCACCCGATTCAAGAGCCGAATGGCTCACAGGGCTATACCTAGTACTTGCACTTGAACTTGATACGTGTTATTGGGAAAACCTTTACATCAATTTTGCGTAGGCACCGTGCATGGCACTCCTTTGTCAATCTGCTACGATGTGTAGGTCTCCCCGGAATGTATTTATACTTGAGGAGTTCCAATATGTCCACAGACGTGACGGTTGTGGGAGTCGTTGGCCATACTTCACCACGCTGGTCAGTGCGAGTTCATACGGACTGCGTGTGAAACAATGTGCTTCCCAAGGGCAGTGAACCCATTATTATAAGCATTTTCATTCATTGGATACCCCCCCCCCCACCCCGAAAACTTCTCAGCATTACACGTTAAGTAGACAACATAACAGGGGTGTAACGATACATCGATACATAAAATCGATTGTTAAGCTCATGATACATGCGTGTAAGAATGTGTGTTTTTAGGTTAGCATGCAAACGATGAACCATTCGGAAAACCACTGCAGTGTCCGCTCCGGTGAAGGAAGAATGGCAAAATTACACGAAATCTTTGCTGAAGCCTTCTCGTTGTGACCAGCAGTCATCGACGTTGGCATCTAGCTCCCGAACATATTGCTGCCATGTGCAAGAGTAGAATTATTACGGAATTATGTGAAAATAACATGCAAATGTGCCTCAAGGAGAGTATTTTTTTATCAGTGCGTGCTGCATGCTTTGACATATGGTTCAGAAACCTGGTCAATAACAAAGAAAAAGATATGATCTATGCAAGCCCACTTACATTTCTTAACAGTTTGAATAATGTCGAAAAAAACCTGCGGATGTTCTACAATCCACGTGTTTCTCTTTATCTCTCAATGCAATTTCAACCATGTGTCTCTCCATGCTTCTTTGTACACTTCCCAGTTTTGGTTCCACTTTCCTATATAAAGCATAAACAATTATATTAACATTGCCAATCCCTTGGCCGACAAAGCTATATATTGAATCTAGATTTATAAAACTGACAAAAATACCTAGTATATATAATAAGCTCAGATTAAACTCTTAAAAGCTGTTTTAATTGATCTCCTTAACACATATTTACTCCAAAACTTAAGTTTTCACAACTGCTTTTCCTCCAGATGTTGAGAACAAATCCTCAAAACGCAGCCCAAATCCCGGAATCCACACTGGGATACATTTTCTTCCTATGAAATACTTACCCACGTGTAAGTTTGCCTTGCTTGAACAGCATACGTCATTATTGTCAAACTCAAGCATCAATCAATGCAATTGCGCCACAGACAGCAATTTAGGTGACATTCTCAATCAAAACTAAACTATTTTATTTTACCAGGTAATGCCCACTGAGCTCAACAAGTTGTCCGTCAAATTCTGGATGACGTACAGTGAGAGGAGGAGGAGGAAAAGGAGGGGTTAGTCATCCAAATTAAAACATTTCATGTAAATCTAACAAAATCCATTGGGACTGCTCTCTTGCTGCTGCATGCTTTTTTGACAGGAGCACAAGCACAGCATGTATCAGGCAACAAAATCAACTCCCCTCCAGCTCAGAGGCTTTCTGCCATTTAACTTTCCCTTTGAGGTCGACAGCTTATTTCGAAATGTCACGCACGGTTTAATATTTGTCACGGGTTCCTTGCACTCTTTTTTTTAAGACTACTGAAGACTAACAAGAATATATATTTTTAAAAGCAATTGCCGGGTACAATGTGTTCCTAAATGGATAAGTCCTATACCGCCTACTAACATCGAGGTGATAATGGACAGTAGGTGCTTTAGAGGTGGGTGGCAAGTGTGTAGGTAGTGTGGAGAGTTTGCTCAGCTCCTTGGTGTTGGAGGAGGTATTCCTTACCCCGTTGCACACATGCACAAAGGGGTTTTGGGGGATTTTTCCTTCCATCACCAAATCAAACCAAATGTGCCTCGATCACATCACCAGATCTCAGAAGCTAAGCAGCAAAGTTGAGCCTTGTTGGCACTTGGGTTGAAGACCACCAGAGGTTGTCAGGTTGTAAGAATTGGGCTGGGAGGTGGCCAGGAAATGGAAGCTATGAGCGTTCATTATCCTTTGTACGCTTAGGTTTTCTGCAGATAATTCGGTTTCCTCCCACATGAAGCCAAACACTCATGAATTGAATTAGTCAAACATCCAATGCAGGACCCTTTTTAAAATGAGTGAGGACTCAAGGAGGCTTTTCTGGGTAAATAATTAACGGTAAATATTTGGCATTATCGTCATTGTTTCCTTTCTTTTAGCCTCTTGACTGTGGTTAAATTTATATATATTCCTTTCTGAGTGAGTTTCATACTCAGTGATGTGATCCAATGATTCAATACAAACTCCTTTGCAATATTAGGCTTGCAACAATTCACCCACTCTTCTCTCCGCCACCAAAACATGCACAATTACATGAATTCTCCTGAATCAGGGTCATGGTTCAATCCAAACTGTTTTTGTCTCTCTTGCTCTGTCTCATATAAATTAAGTTTCGCTCAGTCTGCTCAAAATGTAAATGTGTGATATAATAATTATAATGTCTACATATAATTTGCAGACATTATAATTCTATCCATTGAACAATTATGGTCACTACATCACGCAATTTCAGATCCGCTTCTGCGGCCATCTGGAACGCTCTTCCTTTCGATATTTGGATGGCACTGGTGCTATGCACTTTAAAATATAGATTTTTAAAAAACTCATTTCTTTAGACCTGCTTTTTTGTGTTTAGTTTGTTGTCCTTCCCCCGCACCTAAAGTAAAGTGCAAAAGAAGTTCAACATAAAAAGATCCCCCATATAGCCTTAACAGACTGTAGGGGCAAGTGCTGTTAGCGAGTACCTATGAAGGCCGCAACGGTACACGAGGGGGTGGGTGGCCAGCACCACGCCCGACCGCCTTTGTCTCCCTAGTGGTGATGTTTACACACCGCACCAGGTACTCATTTGAGGCTGAGTCGACCTAGGGGATGCCCAGGAGCGGTTCAGATAATCGTCACTGGTGTTGGCCGTGAGCGGGAATCGAACTCGGGTCGCCGGGTTCATAGTGCAGCGCGCTAACCGCTACACTATCGCTCCCCAACATACACACATTTGCACGTGCGTCGTACCCGAAAGGCAGATGTAGGTGGTGTAGTCTCCCTGGCCGCCAGTGGCTAGGAAGGGGATCCGCTTGCGTGTCCGGCGCCTGACTTGCACGGCCCCCAGCATCCTCTCGTCGTTGGGGGCGAACACCTCTTTGTTGAGGACCGATTTGGCACTCATGGTGCAGTGGGGAACCACTGCAAACAGACGTAGCAAGGAGCACAATCATGGCAATGAGTGCGCAGTAGAACGAATAAGCACGTGTCCAAAGATAAAAGAAAAATATAAAACATGATGACGTCACGATTATTTTTACACCCCTCACAAATGCAGGAATTTAAAGAATGTAACATGATTATTTTCACATTCCATTTTTTTTATCACCTTGACTACTGGATGTAATACAAAAAAAATCACATCTAAGTCCATTTATATGGAATAATTGTTTTTATTTTGTTAATTGCTTTTGTAAAATGTTGTTTTACGATTGCCAAATGCAAATAATTTAAGTACCGAATTTATAGGATGCGGGAGAGCTCCTTTCATCTGCCGCCCTAGATATTCACAACTCCTATTATTCGTAAAATTCGTAGGGTCCCTAAAAAGTAAAATTATTCCAGATCATATTCTCCCTATTATCCACAATTATTCACTGGAGAATTGGGAGTAAGCTCGCGGATAACTTTGTGAATAGGATCGGCTTTGTTCTGCATGCACATCTCTCTCTCTTTCTCCACTTCTACTCTCAACATGCAACATTGAGTACTTTTAGGAATATTTTGACAAGTAAGCCACTGAGAATAAAATGCATGTACAGTATAGTACTGTCCTCAATGCTTTCAATTTTTCTCATTTGAATGGCTCATGGCACATTGAATACATAAATGTATGTGAAAACTAGTTGTATTTCAGAAATTATCAACAAATAATGTATTTCACCAACCCAATTTAAACAGGTATAATTTGTATACTTTGTAAAAAGGAACGTTTTTATATGGTCGAACAGTTAATGTCATCTACTCATTTTAATTTAAAAAACGAGAAAGAAACACATGTTCAAGACACACATTTCCACTGTGTTCCTTTTACCCTTGAGGCAACATCTTTTTACTGTCAACAAACGATGCTAATTAAAATTCAGCACAGACAAATGCAGCACTTGACTCAAACAGGGCACAGTTTTGAAATAAACCATAAAATATTATTAGTGCTATATACACAAAAACAAAGATGTCCCGTGTAGCCTACACAAGCTGCTGCGGAAAGTTCTGTCAATGAGCGCCTATGAAGGCCGACACGTGGCATGAGGGGGTGGTGTGGCCATCACCACTCCCGGCCTCCTTTGTCTCCCCAGTGCCAATATTTACACACCACGCCAGGAAATAACTTACGGCTGACCCAACCTAGGGGAGGCCCAGAACAAGTTCAGATAATGGCTACTGACTTTGGGTGTAAACAGGAATTGAACTGAGGCCACTGGGTTCAGAGCACAGCGGTGCTATTCACCACCGCTCCCATGATACGTAGTATACATTAAAACAACCCAATCTTTATGATACACTCAGAAATGCTGCTGGCAAACTGAAAATGTCAATGCATTTGTTTGCTGTTTCCACCACCTGCTGCAAAATGAACTTTTTGTGTGTGTGTTTATCTCCTGGACTATCTTGTTTCCAAATGTCAAGCTGTCAGAAAAAATTACAGTAGTAAATTGTTGAAGCTTCCAGCAACAACTCAATCAGCACGCACACAATCTCACAAACAGGATGTGGGGTGTTTGTCTATGTCCCTTTAAAACTGAAGTATGGTCAGAAAACGCTCCGCAACCCGCACAGTGTCGGGAAGGCCTCATCTAGCAGTGCGTTGACAGAGAGGATGGGCCACGTAAATGCACCGAAGAATTTGGACACATGGAAACCATGCAAATGCTGTACAGCAAGGGAAACATGCAGGGACAGCATTGTCAGTTATGTGCAGACAAACCTCAAACAATATGTACACTGTATTTCGAAGATGCTTTTGCCAATGACCCTTCTTCAGAGCAGAGGTCAGTCACTGCCTGAAACGTCAATCAACTATATGTTTCTATTATAAAGCAGGACTCAAGGCAAATGTGGTGCTATTGTTTTGTACATATATTTTGGCAGCGAGTGTAAACATCGACTTGTAGACTTAGGAATTATTCATTTTGTGCATGTTTCCGCGTGGACATGCAGCCAAAGGCTTTTGCTCACAGGCTCAAATACAAATATGCAGCCAACCCATTTGCAGACGTGAGCAGTTCACAAACTACACATCACATTTACGTCTCACAAATAAACAAAATACTTGAATAATACATTCCATCGGCTTGGCAGGGATAGAACACCTCAGCTATAAGCTACAAGGGAAGAAATTGGAATACGAGGCCAGGTGGTCCCCGTTTTTTTCTGAACCCAGAATTAATCGCGGCCGGAGAATGGGAGTGGGACCATCCCTGACATTGAACCACCGAAGCAAAAATCTGATAATCGTTGCTCCCAGCGGGGGAAGAAGGGGAAAAAATGACTGATCCAGACATCGTGTTTATGTTATTTATTTTTAAATTAAGTTGTTTTTTTTCGGTTATATCCCCACACCCCACCCACCTCGACTGTTGTCGGGCACTGCACCCGGGCCACTTCAATTGGCCTCCATTTGGGGGCGAATTACTCAGAGGTTGGTACGAGGATGTTGTGCACCCACAGAATGTGAAATACTCTCTGTGATTCTGCTTCTTCTTCTTTGCGTTAAAAAATATGTATACATTCCAAATATTTTCAATCCACCCCCGGATGGCTGTCCTCCGACGTGATGTTGGTCATTGGGATTTTGTTTTATATATATCAGCGGTCGGGAACCTATGGCTCGCGAGCCATATATGGCTCTTCCGGTGACGGCATATGGCTCCCAGACAATTTTGAGTTGGAAAAAATAATAATAAAAAAATAATAATAAAATCAGTTTGGAACTGATTTTAAAATACTTGTGATATTGCTTAATAATACTGTGTCATTTTAAAGTAAACAGAAATTAGTTTTGAAGATAAAATTTCTCGGGTCACGGATCCCGTGACCAGAAGTCGCATTAAAAGTAAGACATATTTAATTTATTATACGTTAAAAATACTATATGGCTCTTCTTGTTTCTTTCGGTAAAGTCACGTAGAAGGGAAGTAATAAAATAATAAAAATAAAACATAATAAAACAATTCTCACGACGAATGAGACACTACCAAACTAGGAGCTTATATATAAGCTCCTAGTTTGGTAGTGTCTCATTCTTCACCTGAAGACGGCTGCTTGCGTTGTAGCCGAAACGTCGTGAGAATTGTTTTATTATGTTTTATTTTTATTATTTTATTACTTCCCTTCTACGTGACTTTACCGAAAGAAACAAGAAGATGAATCCCTGCAGTCACGAAAGCTTTAAATCGAAATACTATATGGCTGTCAATGAAATATATTAATAAATATATTGCGTTTATGGCTCTCCCAGTCAAAAAGGTTCCCGACCCCTGATATATATGTATACCATACTTCACCACGCTGGTCAGGAGAGGTTGGTGAAGGCAAGGACAGGCAGTGCAAGTTGGAGTTTGCATGTCTCTCTCCCCGTGATCGTGTGGATTTTTTCTTTGGGCATTCCTGTTTTTCCCTCCAAATCTTGAAACATCCGTTTGGAGCATTTAGTTGATATAAATTTCCACGTGATACGCCACTTTGTTGAGCTATCAATTGTAGAAAAGTTGCTTCTGAAATATAGCTATAAATTATTTGGGTCTTTCGGTAAAGTCACTTAGGTTCAAATAAAATAAAATAAAAAGAAATACATTTCGATCACAACACAAGCGATCGTCATCCTCCTGATGTCTCCCTAGTGACGATCGCTTAAACTAAACAGTTTTTTGTTGATTTTATTTTTATTAATTTCAACCTATCTACGTGACTTTACTAAAATACCCAAAGAATACGAATTCCTGCTGTCACGAAAGCTTTAAGTCAAGATTTAAGAGCTATATAGCTCAGTGGGCCTTACCTAGTAAAAGAAAACATAGTTTAGTTTAAATTCGTTTTGATATCACTTGCTACTGATGTTAGCCATGGCCGGCAATCAAACTTGGGTCGCTCAATACATTGTGCAGTCCGCTAACTACTGCACAACTGCTATACCCACTTTCAACTAAACAGCCTCGAAAATACAGAGGGGAGCGACTGTCATCATGCCCTTGCCAACCTGCTCACACTGGAGCAATGGCTACAGACAGTGCAACTGCCTTGTGTGGGCTTGATGAATAACACTTCATCTTAATTAGCTCGCGAGAATATCACCGAGTTCCTGCTTTAAGTGATGAAAAAGGAATAGACGAGGCGTTCCGTTTCTGGCAATAAAACAGGTGTTAAGATGTTTGAAGTGTTGGCCCATTTCCTGAAGTGTGCTTTAGATGTAGAAGAAAAACAGAGTGCTGAGAAAAAAACAATCAAAACCAGATGGATAAATCTCAAACTCGATGCGGATAAGTCAACAACCTACTTTCTCTACTGTACTCACTACCCTGCACAAAGACAAAGATCCCCAGCCTAGCCTTAACAGACTGTTGGGGCAAGTGCTGTTAGCGAGGCTGGCACGGCACACAAGGGGGTGGATGGCCAACACCACGCCCGGCCGCCTTTGTTTCCCTAGTGGCAATGTTTACACATCGCACCAGGTACTCATTGAGGCTGAGTCGACCTAGGGGAGGCCCAGGAGCAGTTCAGATAATCGCCACTGTGTTGGCCGTGAGCAGGAATCGAACTCGGGTCACCAGGTTCGTAGCGCAGTGTGCTAACCGCTACACTACCGCTCCCCGCTCTCCTGCACATGGATGTCTCACACATACACTGGCTCAACACATACACTGGCTCAACATCTGCATGTTCCACCAACCCAACCTCCATGTCACTGGATTATAGGTGGTACAACCACACGAGTCTCAGCAAACAATAGCGTTTCACTACTTCTTTAGTCCTCTGCCAAACGGCAAGTCCTTGGCTCCAACCCCGCCATCCTGCCTGATTTTGAGCATTCTTATTCACTCCACTTAATGGGCCCCTTCCTTCAAGCCATCAAGCAGAAATTATCTTTCTTTGTCTGCCTCTTGGCTTCTTTCCCCAGCATCCTTCCTTCTATGACTTCCTTC